AGGTGGTGGAGTTGAGGGGAACATGTGACCCCGGTGCTTGGAGAGGATGTAAGAAAAGTTTTCTTTCTTTCTTTTTTTTTCCTCTCCAAATCTCAAGTGTTTGTCTATTAAACAGAAGATAAAGTTGGTCCCTAAATAGATGCATTCATAAGTAGTGTGACATCATGGAAAGAGCATAGACTTTGGAGCCTGAAAGACCTGAATCTGCATTCACTTAATTGCTATGTCACTTTGGGAAAATAATTTCTGCAGTCTTTAGTATCTGTGTCTTTGAGACAGAGACTCTAATAAAAATCTTTCTATGAGGGTTAGAAGTGATACATATAAAGTGCCCACAGCAGTGTCATGCATATAGTAGACATTCAGTAAATGGCAACTGTCATCATCACCACTACCATGTGCACTATTATACAAATCTCCTTATAATAAGGGAGGAAACTAAGCCACACTGTGAGGTGTATTTCTAACCCATAGACAGAATATCCTGAAGAATCTTGAAGCCTTATTTGAAACGGCATGAATAGGAATGCTCAGTGATTACTATTGGCATTGCTTTGACTCTCCTAGGTTATATCATTCAGTTCAGTCCCATGTCTCTGCCCTTTCATGTCTGCAAGCTCTTCCTCAGTCTCATGCCTCACCCCAACTTTGCCATGTTTCGCATTCTTTCTTGACTCAAGAATGCATTTTTGAAACACATCCTTATAGCAGGAAGAGGCAATTGTTACTACCTTTTTGCCTTCCTATCAGGCTGTAGATGGCCACTAGGTCACAACCAGATTAGACACAGTGATTCGAGAAGTCTCCCAGTTTAATTGCCAAGGACTGACTACCGTGAGCTCCACCTTTTGAGAGAATGAATGATTGTTGAGAGGCACGTTGTGACTCCTTTGACTCTGAATAGAATATTTCCAGGAATCCTTGGGATTCCCTGAAACATGCACTTCTAACACTTGTTCTCTGGAATCACCACTTTTGGGAGAATTACTTATCTTAGACTCAGAAAACAAATCTTGATTGATCATTTTGTACAATCTTGAATCATTTAAGCTCTTAAAAATACTAGGGAAACAACTTTAGAGAGCCTCCCTCGGCAGTAAATGTAACACATGAGTGGTGAGTAGATCTTTCCTAGGAATCCAAGCTTTGGAAATAGGAAGTACAGACAGGCTGAACAAACTGTGTTAATTGGGTCCACCCATCCCAGTGGGGGGAAAGAGCCAGACCTTTGTGAAAATCTCAAGTTATTGCCCTTCCAAACTCTGTTGCTCTAAGCAAGTTACTTCATCTCCTTTATTCTCTTTCTGAATTTCTAAAAGGAGAATCCTGCTGCCTACTTCCTAAGGTTGTCATAAGATTTAAGTTAGGGGTGCCTGGGTGTCTCAGTCAGTTAAGTGTCTGACTTCGACTCAGGTCATGATCTCGTGGTTTGCACGTTCAAGCCCCATGTCTGGCTCTGTGCTGACAGCTCAGAGCTTGGAGCCTGCTTAGTATTGTGTGTCTCCCCTGCTCGCACCTCTCTCTCTCTCTCTCTCTCTCTCAAAAATAAAGAAACATTAAAAAAAAACGTGTAATGAGAGAAATGAGTGCTTTGATATCCCTTCCCAGTGCCCACTCCCCACTCCACCCTTGATAAGATTTTAAAATATTTTTTTCTCTCTAAAAATAATGAGAAGAAATCACTAGCAGAAATAAAGTACAATTAAAATTATCTGTTGTTTGCAATCACACTTTACGAATCTTGAAGGTCAGTGGTGGTGGGAATCAACCTAGAATCCTTTCAAGACAAAGAAATCTCGAGTCTTCAGAGAAATCAGAGACAATGATTTAATTTAGTTATTACTAATATTATTATAACAAAATCCATTCTGACTTAATGACCTAATATGGGGGTGCCTGTGTGGCTCAGTCAGGTAAGCACCTGACCCTTGATTTCAGCTCAGGTCATAATCTCATGGTTCATGGGACTGAGTTTTGTGTCGGTCTCTGTGCTGACAGTGTGGAGCCTGTTTGGGATTCTCTTTCTCCCTCTTCTCTGCTCCTCCCCAGCTCATGCTCTCTATCTCTCTCAAAAAAATAAATAAACTTTAAAAACCTAATATATATTAATTTTGTGCTTACAAAGTATTCTTCCATACATTATGCCATTTGACCCTCAAAACAATTCTCTAAGGCAGGAAGCTCAGAAATTTATCTTGCTCAGGTAAATGCACTGAGGTTCAGAAACTTGCCATGAGTCACAGCTAAGTGATCACAGCAGGACTCAAGCACATGTGTCCAGACCCCAAATTCACTGCTGACTCTTCTGTCATCCCACTTAATTCCTTAGCTGTTAGCCCCATCACATGAGAAGCATGAAAACATGTGTGTGATTGCCCACACATTTATATAAATATATATATATATATATATATATATACATATATATATATATATATATGTATATATTTCATGCCATAGCTCACATCATTCCACTGGGTCAACCAGTTTTTTTCTAGGACTCAATAGTATGTGGATATAAATTGTAAGAGTTGCTAACATTTATTAAGAAACTGTTATGTGCCAGCTACTATGCTAAGTAAGCCCTTTATATACACTTCCACCTAATCCTCTCAATAACTCTATAAAGTAGATATTGTTACCTCATCTTATAGAAGAAGAAACTAATTATCAGAGGGTCAAGAAACTTGTTCAAGATCACACAGTCCCACAATGGATTCAGAGAAATGTCTGTCTGGCAAAATACACACTTTCAATCTCAGTGCTATTTACATCATAGCAAAAACCCATGTTTCTCGGGCACTTGCCACAACTTCTCATACAGAACTCCAGCCCTCCCTGAAGGTGCCCCTCAAATATTTAAGAGTGTCCTAAGGAGATGCCTTACATGTGTCCTCCAGGTAAATTCTATCAGTCCTTCTGTCAACTCTTTCTCTTCTATTCTTAGCCTACACAACCTAGAAATGAAATATTTGTCAGTAATCATTTCTGTGGTAGGCTCACAAATAACAGGTTAGAAGAGAGAAGTGTCCTGAACACACCACCACTACCACCATAGTTTTTTGGTTTGTACATCATTTTATTTGGAGGTTGAAGTTGAAGTGAAACTTCTCATCTGTTTAAAACCCTGGCCGAGGGGCTCCTGGGTGGCGCAGTTGGTTAAGCGTCCTACTTCAGCCAGGTCACGATCTCGCGGTCCGTGAGTTCGAGCCCCGCGTCGGGCTCTGGGCTGATGGCTCAGAGCCTGGAGCCTGTTTCCGATTCTGTGTCTCCCTCTCTCTCTGCCCCTCCCCTGTTCATGCTCTGTCTCTCTCTGTCCCAAAAATAAATAAACGTTGAAAAAAAAATTTAAAAATAAATAAATAAATAACATTAAGTCTGTAAAGCACCTAGCATAATGCTTGGCACCTGGAGAAGCAAAAACAAAAAGATGGTTCTTCTCACCCAAATCCCTGTTCTGTACAAAGATAGCTCCTTGCCTTATTAGCAGTTAATCCATTAACAAACTAGTATGTGTTAAGTGATTAGTGTTCACACAAGTACTTTTATAGGAGAGTGGGAAAATTACATAAGAGGACTAAACATCAATCAACACAGGATTTTTATTGAAAAATAGTGTGATCAGATCAACATATCATTATTTCAATGGAGGGGTCTAAGACTTGGACATAACATTGTTTTGCCAAAGTTTTCTCTGTAATGATGTGTGTTATGAAGGGATTATACTGTCCTATTCCTAGACTAGACAGCTCTGGACACATTTCTGAGCAAATGTACACTGAGTCCTTTGTCAGTTGTCTGGAAATGTGGACAGAGTTACCATAACCTTGGGTGTAATGGCTGTGTGAATATATTTAAAATAAAAATAAACAGAGGGCCCCAACCATCCATCCTGAGAACTTCCAAAGACACCCTGGCCAGGAGTGGTCAGCCAAAGCCATGGCCCTGCAGTAATCCAGCAGTGCTTCCCATGTAAAGTAATGGCCAGGAGTTGGGGGGAGAGAGATAGGTCAGGCTCATGTGCTGCCAAAGCAGCCAACTTTTTAGGTTATGTGCTCAGTTTGTCTCAGAGCATAATTTCCTGGTTCCCTTTCAGTCAAGTTCAAATTAAAAAGAAAGACCTTTTCCACCTCCTACTCACTTCTCAGGAACAAGGCCATGGGACTCAAAATGTTCTTTTCCATTGTGAGAGATATTGAGCCTATAGTAACACCCTGAAAGTGGACTACTCAGTGAATTTTCAGGTGAATTGCTTTAGTTTTCACAAAAGGCTGAAGTATTTTTTTAAAACAAAGCAAAGCCCTCTCCCGTCTGGTTTGTCATCTGCATAACTTCTCTTATTTCGTCTTTCTGTCTCTCTCTCTTTTTTTTCCTTATCCCTTTTTCATCTTTATCTCTTTATTTCTATTTATTTGGGTGTGTGTGTGTGTGTGTGTGTGTGTGTGTGTGTAATACCATGTATTTTGATGTGGGACTATGGGACTAACACTGGGAACTCCTAAATAACCATAGGGTTTAAAGAGGAAATTCATTAAAACATTAAAGTTGTTTACAACTGTGCATTATCAATGCAAGCAAGGTGGATTAAAAGTACACTTTGGAATGTCCTGGAAGCTTCATCTACAAATCACACAGTGTCTCACAAGTCAGACACCAAAGAACAAGTGTAGCTAATATAGAATTTAGGATTAAACAATGAAACAAATAACTTTAATATTTTCATTTCAAATATGGGGAAGGGGACATTTAATTAAGAAAAAGAAATTAAAAAAAAAAAAGAAAGAAAGAAAGGAAAGAAAAAGAAATCCCATCAGACTCACCAACATGAGAGTGCTGACTGTTGACTGTCCCCTCCCACCTCTCATTACTAGAGTGTTCTCCAGTCTGTCTGGTTTTGTGATTCTGTAAAGTGAGTGCTGAGTCCACTCTCACAGCAACATTATCCCCTGCTCCTTGAAGACTGCCCCTGGGTCCTGAAGATGTGTCATTTGCTTCCTCAGGCTGTCATTGGAACCATGGGGCCAAGTCATGTCTGCCCACAGCTGCTGGCATTTGCATCCCTGGGCACTGAGGTCTGAAACTCGACCCTGGCAAGGGCCCTACCCCCTTGGAGGAAATGGCTGAACAGCCCGAGCAACAGCAGATGAAAACTTCCTTCCTCTTCATCCAGCTGCAGGCCCCCCCTGCCCGAGCTCACCCCTCCCAGTCTCCAGCTACTGCAGCCTGGACAGCAGCCCCAGGGGGCCCGGAGGAGGGACACATTTTCCCAAGTCCCAGGACTGGCTTCTTGGCAGGCCAGGACCTCAGGCACACACAGGGCTTGGCTGCTCTTCCCTCCCGCCTGCTGCAGAAGGGGGGCTCTGGGACAGAGGAACCAGCTGCTTTCAGTTGCTCTGCTCTGAAGGAGGAGGAGAGAGAGGAAAAATCCCAGGATCTGGATGTAAGAAGAGGTGGTGTCTGCAGAACCCCACGTCACAGGCCTTCCCCGGCCCCCGCCTCCAGGAAATTTGGACGACTACAGCCCCTGTCATGCAGACTTCGTAGTCCAGCTCCCGTTATGAGCAATGAAAGCAACAATCCCTCCATGGGCTGGGAGCACTGGCCAGTCATCACTGCCCCCCAGGACCTGTGGAGCAAGGACCCTTCATCTTGGGATGCCTTGGGATGTTCAATGCCACCGGCCATCCTGGCTCACGCTACTGACAGGGGTGAAAGTGCTATGCTGAGGAGAGGTGTTGCTACCTGCCAGATTCTTCCCAAGAGCTGTGAAGAGGGCACCAGCACCACTGTGCAAGCTAGGAGAGCAAGGCTCTACAGATACTGTCCGCCCGTTCAGACCAGCAAGAGCTACCCGGCCCTGCCTGCCGCTCTGCCTCTCAAGGTAAGAAAGCCCATGTGGCTGAATCCCCAGACCCCAGCTGTTCCCAGAAGAGAGAATAGAGAATGGGGACAGATGTGCCCACTAGAGCTCCCAGTCACTCATACTTGCACGTCCCCTGCACTGTCGATGGGGTAAACCTCAGTAGCAGAGGTACTCATCAGCCACAGTCCCCCTGCCTTGGGCCTAGATCTTTCCTCTCTGCTCTGCCACATTTCCCAGCCATTAGCAACATTTTGTTTGGAAGGAGAGGATGAATAACTGTTTCCCAGATTTCTGACAAAGATAGGAGAAGACAAGTCAGGCAAGGAAGTACATACTTTTAGGGGCAGACCAGAGGGAAGGATAAAGGAGGTACATAGACTTTTATTGAGCCCTATGATGTGTCAGCCATTATGCTAGATGTTTTTCTATATCCCATTTGTCCTCATAACCACCCTGAAAAATAGAAGCTCATACCCCCATTTCAGATGGGGGGAGCTGAGAAGTGGCTAGGCAAAAATCCTCCCCCTTCCAAAAAGAAAAAGTACAGAAGCAAAACCTATTCTCCAGAATGGGCTCTGGGCACTTTAAGGAGGTTTCAGTGAATTTTGTGGAGGTTTTCAGAAACGAAGTGCAGCCTTGGAACTCAGCCACACCTTCTAAAGCCCACATCTACCTCCCATCACCCTCCCACCCCACCCCAAGAAGCTATATAGCCCTGAGCATTGACCTCCCAGCTTCCATTTCCCAGTAGGAATGGAAGAGATAAATCTGTGTGGTCTTCAAGGGTCTCTTCCAGCTTTTATGGGCTCTGTCTCCAATCATGGCCATGCTAGCTCATTGTTATTAGCATCTTATTCTCTGCATCTCTGACCCAACCTTCTCATTGTGATGGTGTTCTCTCCACCCAGTTCAGGTATACAGATCACAAAATGGATGGACAAAATAAAAAAGTATGCTTTTTTTCCCCTTTATTAACAGTTTAGACAATTTGCTATACTTTGCACATAATATAGGTGACAAGGGTGAGGGTGAGGAAGAGCGTGTGTGTTGGGGTTGGTGGGATCAGGGAGAAGAATGGGGACTTTTCTGGGGTATGGGAAGGTAGACATGGAGGGGACTCTCAGGGACCTCACAGAAGAAATGAATGAAATTCCTATCAGAAAATTGGTCTTCCGTGGACTTGGAAATGATGCGGCTTCTAGATTCTGTGGTTCTCTCCTACATGCTTCTATACAACATCCTTCCATGCTCTTTCCCCTTTTAACAGGGAGCCTGTATAGTCACAGTTAAGAATCAGGGAGAAAGGATGAGCCTAAGTTCTATTCAGAGGGGAACTTTTGGAAGAAAAGAGATGCTAGCATGTTCCCTTAAGAAATAGTTTACATTCCTTCCTGGTTCTTGTATCACTCATTTCCTACAGGGATTTAGGAGGAATGGCATACCCATGTGTCAGAGCCCTGTCTCTTTATGTGTGGTCACACAGTAGTTGTTTATGTACTTTGATGCTGGTTTGATAACTTGAAAACTCTATCTTTTCCTATTCTCCCCTCCCACCTTCCGGGTATAAACCAAAGCCTCAGAGCCATTTCTCTAGGAAGAAGTACCTTGGGAGTTGATCCAAGTGGGTATATTTCTCCCTTGTCTGCTTCATGTAGCAACTTTTGTGAATGGGCTCCCAGACATCTGTCCCATCTAAACTAAGCGTTACAAGATTCTGGGCTAAAAACTTAGATTTGTATACTAAAGTGTTGGGCCAGTAAAAGGGACCCTCAGTAGTCTTGTCTTAAGGGAGAGAAGAAGAGAGGCAAATCAGTGAGACACCTGGGTAGGACCAGGGAGTACATGGTCCGTGAAGGGTGTCCATCTAGGGTAGGACTCGAGGTGGTTAGGAAGCAGGGCTACAAAAACTTATCCTTGAGTTTGCTGGTCAAACATGATTCCCTCCATAACAGGAAGGATGGGAGTTGTGAAATTAGCACCCTCAGACCACAAGTCCTTTAAATGCTTTATGGCTATTATTAGCCAGGTGATCCCCGCCTGGTCTTCTGTGCTAGAGAAAGGAGTACAATTAAGAGAGAGAGTTTTTTCCATCTTCCCAGTCCTGAATAGATTAAGGTGTCTGGATTTGATAAATTAGTGTATAAGAATTCCCTAGTCCTCTCATGCTTTGGAATTTAGCTGTAGAAGTCACTATAAAATGGCAGCAGCCTGATTAAAAATGTCTTCTTGTCAACTATGAATGGAAAGCCCTTGAATACCTGTAGTGGAAATTTTCACCTGCTGTGCTCATGAAAAAATGTGATCGATTATATTTATTAAAGTAGGGGCGCCTGGGTGGCGCAGTCGGTTAAGCGTCCTACTTCAGCCAGGTCACGATCTCGCGGTCCGTGAGTTCGAGCCCCGCGTCAGGCTCTGGGCTGATGGCTCAGAGCCTGGAGCCTGTTTCCGATTCTATGTCTCCCTCTCTCTCTGCCCCTCCCCCATTCATGCTCTGTCTCTCTCTGTCCCAAAAATAAATAAATGTTGAAAAAAAAATTAAAGTGAAATTTTGGTTACATGGAAGCAAAGTCTACACACTACACACTACATGTACACACTACATGTGTTTCATAGGCTTGAGGTCCTTGTATCAACTTTCCAAGTCTCTTCTTCACAATGCCCCAGATGCCTAAATATATTGCCTCACAGTTGAAACAAATGGACTCCAATATGAAAATTATTGACTTACATCCTTCCAAGTATCATAGGGAGTGAGTGCGGCAAATCAAATCAACTGATTTTTAATTTATAGTAAAAACAACTATAGCACTTTATGGCCAATATAGGGCTTCCAATGCACTATTTCCTCTTATTAAAACATCAAAACTCCATGAGGATATACATTATTATCATCTCCACTTCATGGATAAGGAGACAAGATGCTTGTAGATGGTCAGCAACTTGCTGGATCCCATGACTAGGACATGGCAGCTCAGGACAGAACTCTAATTATCCAATTGGAGGCCAGAGCCCTTTTAGCCTTCTTTCAGTGTCTTCTGAGAGGGTGAGATTTCCTTGGAAGGCAACCCACTACTTCCTGGAAACTGGGACACTCTACTCCTATTTTCTCTGGTGGAGAGGATGGGAGAAGGACCCTTGGGAATATCAGGTCTAGTGACCAGCCTTGTGTGAACAAGCACTGCTTTCTAGAAGCAATGAAGGTCTGGGTTTGGAGGACATGGTGTTCCAGCTCTGGGTAATGCCAGCTTGAGGGCTGTAACATTCCTGTGGTAAGTCCGTCAGTGTGAATCAGAAAATGTTCCATGGTCTGAGGCCACAGCTGCCCTAAGGATTTCTTGGGCCCATGTTCTGCTGCCTCTCTGTGGGAATGAAAGGAACTGTTGATGTGTGTCTTGAATCTGGGGCTAAAGATACAAAGACCATACCAAGATAAGACAGACACAACACAAAAGAGAGGGGAAAAAAAAGCTTTCTCTACAATCATTTTGGAAAATTTCCAATTTTTTTTAAAACTAGGTCTTTATATCTTACATATTTTATGTTTTGAAGTAACAATGACTTTTGGTATTTAAATCATAGTAATTAAATATATTTTAAAGATATTCCTCCTAGTACTATTTTTACAACACCCCCCCTCCAAATTTTCATCTATAGCTTTAAATTTCCCAGAAATTTTACCTCTCTCTATTGGTCTTCCTTTTTTCCCCCCCTACTCTCTCATCTAAAAAGCAATCACCTTTTTGAGTTTTTATCACCAGCTTTTAGGAATGTTCAAGTTTAGAAGACAGAGTGGAGAATGAGCCAGACAGATAAGGAGCCCACGGGAAGTATATGTGGGAAGGAAACAGGGATGGGTAGTTCTTCTTTAAGATAGTGAATACAAGTGCGATGTAGGTCTATTTTCTTATAGGTAGGCCCTGGCAAGCAGACTAGAAAAAATAGTTTTAACTTTCTGCATCTTGGATTGTTTTGCTTTAAAATAAGACCAATGTCTGGAATATAAGTCTGTAAGTTTTTGACAGAAAGTTTTTATTTAAAATAAAGGTCACTGGCACTGGAATTTATGAGATGAAAATGAAGCTCTGGTTCTGTCAACTAGCTAGCTAACTAGCTAAGTGGCCCCTGACAACTCACTGAACAAAGTTGGTTATCACATTTGTTCTCTGAGGTCCTTCCAGTTCTGACTCTCCATGATTATGAATCTATGAATCCAGAAAGGGAATGAAAACTGTTTAATGAAATAAAAGTATTAAAACAACTTAATTTCATCTACCTCAACTTGTCTCTAAAGATTAATGGTTTTATCAAGTGACTTCTCTGCAAGAAAGACATACACATTGGGCTTGCCTCTCTCTCAGGGAGATCTGGGACTCCAGTGGGCACTGGGATGGTTATATACATGAAGAGCACAGTGCCTGGCACTTCACAATTAGTTGAATGAATGAATAAATGATGGAATGAACCTCATAAAGGCTGATTAATGCTCAGTGATATGAAAGGGTTAATGCCTTTTTTGAACAATAAAACAAATCCTCACCATGGAATTTTAGGGCCGGAATTCCCAGCTGTCCATCCCCTAACCACTGATATTTCCTTCTCTGACCAGATTTCGGTTGAATTAAATTCCCTTCTGGAGTTGAATACTGACCCTCCCCCTCCCCTGGGTATACTTAAACCCCCTGGACGAGGTCAGTATCTTATCTGGGGTAAACACTTAATTACCCAAGCATCTTTGACTTTTCTGACCTGTTGTAAGCTTAGAAACTGTTCTGCACATAAAATGGTAATCTAGGTAATTCAATCTTTACATTAATCCTTCTTGGTGAGCAATTTAGAATTCTAAAATAGAAATTAGAACAAAGAGAGAGCTTGCACAAATGCCCATATAGTAGTTTTAACAGTAATATAGATAAATGTGTGGTGGTGTCCCTTTTAAAAGATTTTGGTACTTAGGAGACAGTATTGATTGGATTGAAAAGCTTATCTTTAGTCTATTTTACATTGCATTGGTTTTGACA